TCTCAGTTCAGTTCAGTTCGGTCGCTCAGTCGTGTCTGACTCCTTGCAACCCCATGGACTGCAGCACGCCAGGCCTCCCTGTCCATCACCAACTCCCGGAGTTTACTTAAGCTCATGTCCATTGAGTCAGTGATGCTATCCAACCATCTCATCCTCTATCATCCACTTCTCCTCCTGCCTTCAATCTTTCTCAGCATCAGGGTCTTTTCAAATGAGTCAGTTCTTTACATCAGGTGGCCAAAGTGTTGGAGCTTCAGCATCAGTCCTTCCAATGAATATTCAGGACTGATTTCCTTTAGAATAGACTGGTTGGATCTCCTTGCAGTCCAAGGGACTCTCAAGAGTCTTCCCCAACACCACAGTTCAAAAGCATCAATTCTTCAGCATTCAGCTTTCTTTATAGTCCAACTCTCACATCCATACATGACTATTGGAAAAACTATAGCTTTGGCAAGATGGACCTTTGCTGGCAAAGTAATGTCTCTATTTTTAAATATGCTGTCTAGGTTTGTCATAACTTTCCTTCCCAGGAGTAAGCGTCTTTTAATTTCATGGCTGCAACCACCATCTGCAGTGATTTTAGAGCCACAAAAAATAAAGTCTCTCACTGTTTTCACTGCTTCTTCATCTATTTGCCATGAAGCGATGGGACCAGATGCCATGATCTTAGTTTTCTGAATGTTGAGTTTTAAGCCAGCTTTTTCACTCTCCTCTTGCACTTTAATCAAGAGGCTCTTTAGTTCTTCTTCGCTTTCTGCCTTAAGGGTGGTGTCATCTGCGTATCTGAAGTTATGGATATTTCTCCTGGCAATTTTGATTCCAGCTTGTGATTCATCCAGCCCAGCATTTCTCATGATGTACTCTGTATATAAGTTAAACAAGCAGGGTGACAATATACAGTCTTGATGTACTCCTTTCCCAATTTGGAACCAGTCTGTTGTTTCATGTCCAGTTCTAACTGTTGCTTCCTGACCTGCATACAGATTTCTCAAGAGGCAGGTCAGGTGGTCTGGTATCCCCATCTTTTTAAGAATTTTCCACAGTTTGTTATAATCCACAAAGTCAAAGGCTTTGGCATAGTCAATAAAGCAGAAGTAGATATTATTCTGGAACTCCCTCACTTTTTCGATGATCCAGCGGAGATTGGCAATTTGATCTCTGGTCCTCTGCCTTTTCTAAAACCAGCTTGGACATCTGGAAGTTCACGGTTCACGTATTGTTGAAGCCTGGCTTGGAGAATTTTGAGCATTACTTTACTATTGTGTGAGGTGAGTGCAATTGTGTGGTAGTTTGAGCATTCTTTGGGATTGGAATGAAAAGCGACCTTTTCCAGTCCTGTGGCCAATGCTGAGTTTTCCAAAAGTGTTAGCATATTGACTGCAGCACTTTCACAGCATCATCTTTTAGGATTTGAAATAGCTCAACTGGAATTCCACCACCTCCACTAGCTTTGTTCATAGTGATGTTGACTATTATAAATAATGCCACCGTGGGCATTCAGATACAAGTTTTTCAATGTACATGTTTTCATTTCTCCTGAGTATATACCTATGAGTAGAATTGCTATGTTATATGGTTACTCTATGTTTAACTTTTTGAGGACTGCCAGACTGTTTCCTAAAGTGGCTCTGCCAATTTACGTTCCACCAGACATGTGTGAGGGTTGAAATTTCTCCATGTCCTTTAACATCTTCTATTGTCTAGACTTTTTAACTTAGTCATCATGCTGGTATGTGTTAAAAGACATCTTGTTGAGGTTTTAATTTATTTGTCCCTAATGACTAATAAGGTTGAAATTTTTTTTTCATTTTCATATACGTCATTTGCATCTCTTCTTTGGAGAATGTCCTTTTAAAAATTGGGCTAATTGTATCTTATTTTTTAACTTCTTTATATATTTGGAATATAAGTCCCTTACCAGATATGTGATTTACAAATATTTTCTCACATTCTGAGAGTTGTCTTTTAGTTTCTTGATGATAACTTCTGAAGCAGAAAAGTTTTTAATTTTGGTAGGGTCCAATTTATTTTTTCAGTTGTTTCTTGTATATTTTGGTATAAGCAACACTCTAAAAAACCATTGCTTAATACATGTCACAATAGTTTAATCCTCTTTAAGGATTAAATTTTTAAAATTTAATTTACTCTTAAGTTTTCTTTGAAGAGCTTTATAATTCTAGCTCTTACATTTAGATCTAGGATCCATTTTGAGTTAATTTTTTATATGGTATAAAGTAGGGGTTCATATTCTTTCAATGGCAAAGAATTCTTTCTCTATTGAATTATCTTGGTACTCTCATCTAAGGTTATGTCTTTATGATAGAATTTACCAAATATTGGCTTGTTTTGTGTAAACTGGACCTGTCCTCCTATCATTGGAGGACAGGAACTATGTTTTGTTCATTGAAGATGAGAAAACCTATATGAACCATAGAGCCCCAGAGTAAATATTTCTTTCCTTCTTTTGAATTTCCCCACAGCACTTGGTGCGATGTTTGTCATACAATGATTCCATAAATGTTTGCTGAGTGGAAAATGTGCTTGAACCTACACCTGGAAAGAAGGGCATAGGTTCCTAAAGCTCTGATCGAATGGGACGTTCAGAACACTTTCAGCTCTTTTCAGAGTAAAACTCTGAATTGTGAAGACCCCAACAAGTTGAGAAGTTGCCCTGTTGTCAAGGTCATCACCAGTGTTAGTCACTCAGTCGTGTCCGACTCTTTGTGACTCAGGGACTGCAGCCACCAGGCTCCTCTCTCCATGGGATTCTCCAGGCAAGAATACTGGAGTGGGTTGCCATTCCCTTCTCCAGGGGATCTTCCTGGCCCCGGGGTTGAACCTGGGTCTCCTGCAGTGCAGGCAGATCATTTACTGTAGTCAAGGTAGGGGCTTGCAAATGACTCTATTCTCTAAGGTAAGTGACAAATATATTTTCACTTAAAGTGACTCTAAACACTGAAAACAACCCTCAAGGTCTAGAACCTTTTCTTTTCTTCTAGTTTAACTTCAAGTTGTCCAGATGTCTGCTCATTTAACACGTGTTCAGTTGCTAAGCTGAGTTCAACTCTTTGCGACCCCATGGACTGTAGCCTGCCAAGCTCCTCTGACTACGGAGTTTTTCAGGCAAAAGTACTGGAGTGAGTTGCCATTTCCTTCTCCAGGGGACCTTCCCAATCCAGGGATCCAACCTGTGTCTCTTAGGTCTCCTGCATTGTCAGATGGATTCTTTACCACTGAGGCACCTGGGAAGCTTATTTAACTGCTAATGCAGTAATAAAATTTCACTTGTGAATTTGACCTCAATTCCAAATAATTGACTGTGGTTCTAACCTGCCTGAAAGCAGAAAGATTTTTTTTTTTCTGGAAGCAACAATCACTATTAAAAAGGCAAAGAGTGCTCCGGTATAGACGGCAATTCTATTTTCAGTGACCCCTTTCTCCCTGTCTTTTTCTCCCACGCTGAACATTAGGAGACCTCACAAGCTTTCAAAAATAGAGCAAGAGGTTGAAGATAAAGGCCTGTTCATTCTATTGGGGAGTGTCCCACGGAGTCATGTCCAGACAGTGTCTCTGCTGCTTGGATATCTTTTCCTGAGATTTCAGAATCTGCCTCTTTGTGTGCCGAAGTGTGTATGTGCAAGTATGACTCTCAGATGTGTTCTATATGGATACACATAATTAACTTTCTTACCCCCTTCTTTTCAGCTTTATTGAAGTGCTTCAAATGACAGTTTCTGACTCTAGAGTCACCACTCTGTCACTTCACCACACTGCCTCTCTGCAAATAATCAGGTACTAGGCTCTTAAATACATCTTCTTCTAAAGATGGTGGCCACTTCCTAACCCTAAGTTACCTAGAATACCGGGAGAGTCCATCGAAGAAAAATTGCTTATTAGCCTTTATATATTTTGGAGCAGTTTCTGGTTCACAGCAAAACTGAGCTGAAGATTGAGATTTTCCACATCTCTCTGCCCCTTCACATGCACAGCCTCCATTATCAACAGTCTCCACAGAGTGGTACGTTTGTTACAACTGAGGAATTTACATTGTTGTTCAGTCCCTGAGTCCTGTCAGACTCTGTGACCCCATGGACTGCAGCACGCCAGGCTTCCTGGTCCTTCACCTTCCCCCAGAGCCCGCTCAAACCCATGTCCATGGAGTCGGTGATGCCATCCGACCACCTCAGCCTCTGTCCTCCCCTTGTCCTCCTGCCTTCAATCTTTCCCAGCATCAGGGTCTTTTCTAAGGAGTTCTAATGAAGAACCTGATCCGGTTCTTGGCATCAGGTGGCCAAATTATTGGAGCTTCAACTTCAGCATCAATCCTTCTAATGAATATTCAGGACTGATCTCCTTTAGGATCGACTGTTTTGATCTCCTCGCAGCCCAAGGGACTCTCAAGAGTCTTCTCCAGCACCGAAGTTCAAAAGCATCAGTTCTTCAGCGCTCACATTGACGCATCATAATCACGTCAAGTCTGTGGTTTACGTTAAGGTTCTCCCTGTTGTACATTCTGCGGGATTGGACAAATGTGTAATGACATGTATCCACCATATAGTATCATATAGACTGGCTTCACCGGAGAAGGCGATGGCAACCCACTCCAGTGTCCTTGCCTGGAGAATCCCAGGGACGGGGGAGCCTGGTGGGCTGCCGTCTATGGGGTCGCACAGAGTCGGACACGACTGAAGCGACTTAGCAGCAGCAGCAGACTGGCTTCACAGCGTTAAAAATCCTCTATGCTCTGCCCAGAGGTTGGGTTTAAAAGGGAGAGAAGAGAGGGAAAGGAAAAAACTGGTGCAACGCAAAGGCGCCACCAAACTCCCAACCACGTTCGTTCCCAAGTTCACATGCTCCAGCTGGCCCATCTCTCCAACTCAACTCTGGGCAGGTTCCTCCTCCTCCTTTTGTTTAAGTGTCCAGCAAATGGGTTTCCTGTTGACAGCGGAATATTGTGAAAGGGCAGGAAGAAGCCAAGCCACCTCCTCTTTCCCCCTTTCCTATCCTATTTGTTTATCTTGTACCCGTCTGTTTTGGTGGCGCGGCGTGTGCGGCGGCGGGGCGGCTCGGCGGCCCGTAACCCCTCCCCGAGGAGGCGAGGCCCCGCCAGACCCCGCCCGATCCCGGCTCCAGCTCCGCGGGGCGGGGAAGGGAGCGGGAGAGCCGGAGGAGGAGGCCGCCGGGGCGCGCGAGGAGGCGGGGAAGCCGGCTCGGCCCGCGCCCGGCCGCTCCCCCGTGGGCTGCAGGTGGAGCCGAAGAGGCAGCCGCTTCCGACGCCGCCGCTCTCCGGGGCCGCCTCCCAGGCCCGAGGCTGCGGGCGTGGGGCGCCCGGGGCTGGCGGCCGGCGCGCGGGCCCGCGCGGCTCGTCCATGGCTGAGGGCCGGCGGCGGGAGGACGAGGACGACGAGCTGCGCGAGCGCCGCGAGCTCGGGGGCCCGCGCCGCGCCCGGGGCCGCGTGCTCTCCGGCCACCCGGCCGCAGGTGAGGGGCTCGGGCGGCGCGAGGGGAGGGACGGGGGCGCCCTGCTCCGGACGCCGGCGGCTCCCTCGCCCGCCCGGAGGGGATCGGCACCTCCAACTCTCGGAGGCGAGCCGGAGGAAGAGTGGCTTTTCTTCCGTTCCCATCCTCACTCTGGGGCCGAGCCCCAGGAAATTCAAGCTTAGCTCTACCTGTTAGGGGCCCTGGAGCCGAAACTACACATTTTCCGTGCAGACTAAATCCAGGAGCTGCTGGCTTGGAACTTGTGGCTGCCTTATCTCTGGATGAGTCAGAGGCCGGTGAAGAATGCCCCCTCCCGATAGGTTTGCCAAGCTGTCGCAACCGAGTCTAAGCACGTGCTCATAGTCCAGTCGGGTTTGGGTTTCGGTGCCTCTTGAACTTCGGACCTGGGCCTGCCCTCCCAACCCCCAATCTCCCAAGTGCACCTAGTTTCTACAGGACTTGCTTTAGAGTTACTTGGTGACACCACCCCCGCCTCGCCCCACCTCCTCCCGCCCAGAATATAGCATTCCAAAAGGTGATGCAGTTGGACCGAGAATCATTTCTGGGCATATGACTACTTTTGTGATCTTGTTTTTGGTGCACGGATCAATAGTTTGGCGCAGAAGTGTAAGAGTGAGTGTACTCCCACACCCCTTCACTTTCCGGGGGAGCTTTTCACTTAAACATAATAGAGAGGAAATTCTTTGGTCTTTGGTTCCAACTGGATAAGCCAGTTATCTGAAAACAAGAGGGAAGAGATGACAATAAAAGGGAGATAGAGGCGTGACAAAGATTCCAATGTGCACACTCATTAAGGCCTCTTTAGAAAGTGGAATACACTGAGCATTCCGGTAAACCATGGAGAAACTTTTCTATATGGCTCCCTTAACCTCAAAGAAAGCTGGAGAATTGAAAGAAGATCCTGAGTTTCTGGGGAACAAATGGAGGCTAGAAAATGGGATGAAAGGAAAGAGTTTGAGTGGAACGTGAAGAAATCGTTGATTTGATGCTCTTGGTAGGATCTTGAACCCTTAAAAATCATTCCTTTTGGAAGATGAGTCTTCTCATGTTGTCCAAATGTCAAATTCCATTTTTCCTTTTGGAAGTTTTTTTCGAGGAAATCTAGATTATTTGCTCTGGACTTCTTTCTAGCAATGAGTGTTACCATCTAAATATTTGATACGTAGTGGGGATTATTAATGTCAATAAGATTTGAGGACTAGAAATTGTAAGCAGTAAATAAACAATGAATTGATGTGAGAAAAATTAGAAAAGTATGTTTTGCACGATGTAAATTATTGCATGTTATTAATGATTATTAAAAGTATTAAATGCTTTTTGTAATTAAAAAAAGCATTCCTTTTGCCCATTATTCTTTCCAGCAAAATAAGGCATTTGACTAACCACAAAAACACCAACCGTTTTGAAGATAACGTCTTGATAGTTTTGTTTAGTATAAACCCAGATCTAATGAAATACTTGGTGATTGCTAGATACGAGTAAATAATTCATGGGAGAATACAATGAAAAACTTTACAGATACTCCTCTGTTTTCCACTGATTTAAACATTCCTTGGGCTCCTCCTCAGCAAAAAGCTTCACATATGTTCTGTGAAGAGCCGTACGGAAGTCATACTAGATATGATCCAGATACATGTTTATCATGTAGTTGCAGTATATGTGTTTATTCCAAGGCCGGTGGGAATGGCATATTGTAACTTGTTTTTGCCAGTTCTTTAGTTTCCCAGGGCTACCAGGAGCTTTTCTAGGTTCCGTGATAATCTGTTGCTGTGAGGTGACATGGTGTTCTTTTCACTCAGAAATTGGTGTTTACAGTTTCTAACATTTTATATACCCTGTCTGGGTTCAGGGGTGAGAAACAGATATTATGGAGTGGGCAGAGGGTTAAACTGGCTATTTTAGCAGGCTTCTTTCTTTGGAGACACATTATTTAATAGTTTACATTTCTTTGCAAGCTGTGCTCCTCTTTCTCATTAGTTTCCCGTGTGTTTTTCAGACTCCGTTGCATTCCTTACCAAGCTTGGGCATTTGTTAGTTATGTTTGTGCGGGGTGTTCTCTCTCCAAGGGAGAGAGTAGGAACTGACCTAGAGGCTTCATGTTTCTACCCGCCCCCACCCCCCGCCCCCTTAACCTGAACCCTTTTTAAAGTCATCATTGAATTTGTTAAAATACTGCTTTTGTTTGACGTTTTGGGTTTGGGGCTGTGAGCCGTGTGGGGCCTTAGCCCCCTGACCAGGGGTCTGACCCACACACCCTGTGTTGGAAGGTAGAGCCTTAACCACTGGGCAACCAGGGGGGGATCTCCCGTTTCTTCATCCTCCTCTTCCATCTTTCCTGTCCTCATCCCCTCTCTCCTTCCTCCACCACCTCACAATCTAAGGATTTCTCCCTTTTTCTTTGATCTCACAGAGCTTGACACCATAAACTTAGGGTGTATGGACTTGAGGGAGTCTGTGAGTTCCTTCTCTCCCTGCTAAATACAAGGTGTGGTTGTGGAAGTGCTTTTTTTTTTTTTTTACTTTGCAATGTATATTCAGGAGAACATATAAAACCTGTAAATCATAAAGTAAGACTCTCGTAACCTGTGCCCAAGTATTATCATTTCCTGAAGCAAACTTTGGTCTCTCCTAGACATGACGTCTTCCTTCCCCTTGAGGGAACCACTATTTCCCCCCTTTTCTGCACAGTTTTACCTACACGTGTATGCTTGCATAGAGCATATGCATATATATGTGCATCCCTATTCAATATTATTTTTACCTTACTAAGCATGATTTATTTACTTATTCGACAACTTCACATGAGTGAAGTCATCCTGTATATATTCTTTAGTGTCATGGTTCCTTCATTCCGTGTTAAGTTTGTAAGATTTATCCATATTGTTACATGCAGCTGTAGTTTCTTTTCTTTGCATTCATACGTTACATTTTTGCTTATTTTTCTTATTGATTTGTTGGAGTTTTTTACTTGCACAGGAATCTCAGCTTCCATTGGTTGCATGTGTTGCAAATTGTGCTTCCACTCTAGTTTATGTAAAAAATTTTTGTTCATGGTTTCTTTTGATGTAGAAATTCATAATTTTAATGTAGGTAGATTTATGAATCTTTTTCTTTATAGTTAAGTGTCCCTCCTCTCCTCGCTGTCCTCCTTTGTTAAGAATGCTTTCTCTACTTCAAGGTCATGAAGATATTCTATATCTTCTGTTGTGTCTACTAAAAGTTTTGTAGCTTTCTTTGGGGAGAGATGCCATAGCTTTCGTCAGAATCTCAAATGGGTCTGAGAACTCTGAGTGACCTGACAGCATTTTTATATTGTTTCTCCAAAGGACTGCTGCTGCTAAGTTACTTCAGTCATGTCTGACTCTGTGTGACCCCATAGACGGCAACCCACCAGGCTCCCCTGTCCCTGGGATTCCCCAGGCAAGAATACTGGAGAGGGTTGCCATTTCCTCCAACAATGCATCAAAGTGAAAAGTGAAAGCGAAGTCATTCCAAAGGGCAGGAAGTACAAAATTCCGAGGAGTGGTAGGCATTTAATTTTGTGTGCTCAGCTGTGTTCGACTCTTTGTGACCCTGTGGACTCTAGCTGGCCAGGCCTAATACTGGAGCAGATTGCCGTTTCCTCCTCCGGGGGATCTTCCTGACCTTGGGATTGAACCCATGTCTTACACGTCTCCTGTTTTGCAGGAGGATTCTTTACTGCTGGCATTTGATAGGGTTTAATAAATATTAAATAAATTTACTCTGTGTTTGATGTGATTATGGTAAACTCTGGAAGGACAGATATAATTTCTCCCATGTGTTCTGAGTAGAATAACTGATATTTTTAATATGAGGTCACAATTAAATTTCGTTGTGTTCTCTTCGTTGTGTTCCCTATGAACTGCTTCTTACATGTTGTCTCCTGTGGGGGAGGTGTTATTTTCTCCATTTTATAATTGAAAAGATTGAGGCTCAGAAATACATAAAAAATATTTAAGTGACTTGCCCAAGATCCCTCAAGCTGTAAGTGGCAGGATGGGGACTTGAATCCAGGTCTTTTTTGACCTGAAAATCTGTGTTTTTCCAAGCTATCCTGCTGGCTACTAGTAAAAGTCAGTTGCTTTGAATGCTCCACATGTTTATACCTGCATGTTGCTTGTTATAATTTAGAAATACTTTTTACATTTACCTGGTGCTTTTCTACTTAGGAGGGACTTCCACTGATGGAACTTGATGGTTACAACAAGCTGAGAAGGAGGAGGGTACATTTTTGATATCCCCATTTTAAAGACGAGTAAATTGAGACTCAGAAGTGTTAAAAAAAAAAAAACTTACTCTAAAAAGAACACAGCTAGATATATAGCTGCACCTCAGTTACTCTATTGGGTGTTTCAAGTCACGAACCATTATTTATTTGATTCATACAACATGTCAGGTCATATGGCCCAGAGTGTGTGGCTCTGCCTAATAAGTTGTATCGTTTTGAAAACTACATTAATTCTTCTGGGCCATAGCTTACAGTTTTTGTTATTAGATTTCCAAAGTTATCTAATTTATTTTGAGAAAGTTATTATAAATCTCACAGACACCAGGGATATATGGACATGCTGTTTAAAAATTCTCTACTCACCAAGGTCTTTAAGAAGATCTACTAGTCATCCTGTCAACAAAATGTAAGCAAAATGTGTAGAAAATACAGGGAATACAAAGAAATATATAAAATAGGTTCCCTGCTTTTAAAGAGCATGTCATGGAATTAGGGAAGGTAAGCCTAATATACTTTAAAGAAATAAGAAGATCAAGTAGTTCATGGTAACTATAAAATGGAGGTTAGCATAAGAGAACCAGACTATCTTAGTTTATTTCTTGACTCAACCTCTTACTGTGTGACCTTGGACAGGTTACCTAACCTCTCTGTGTGCGTCCATTCTTTACTTGTAAAATGGGAATATTAATAAAACCTATTGCATAGGGTTTGAGGATTGAGTGAATTAGTACATGTAATACCTTTAGAACACAGCTAGGCACATAATAAATATTGCCTATAATGTTGTTAGTGTTTATGTACAATTTTGTTATTGTTAAAACATCTAACACTTCATTGAGTCTGAATTTTTTCTTCATTTGGGAATAGTTACACAGTTTCAGGTTGGCAAAGAAAAAGGAGGTAAAACTGCATCTTCAC